GCAGACAGTGTGCTGCACATGCCCCGGGCACCCCAAATTGGACTGGCCCCGAAGCTCGCTGCGCAAATCTGCGCGATCACGCTCTGAGCGGACGTCGCGTCGACGAATTCACCACTGCAGGAGAACGACGCCAACAATGCAAAACCATAATCCCACCACCACCGGATCGACAAAATCGCTCACTTCTGGCGCTAACTTCATCCCCGACGGCTAGGGGGAGTTTCCTGCTAGCCAGACCCAAACCTGACTAGTCAGAATCAACTCTTGTTGGGCTCGCGTTCGTCTCGGTTGAGGGCACGCCACCACGCAGTCATCATCGGAAACTCGTGGGAGACCAGCGAAAACGCAATCACCCATGGAAGCTTCATTGAACAAAAAGTGGTTTCGGAGAATGAATGCGATGACGGCGATGCACGTTGCATTAGTCCATATAATGTTTGCGAGTGCCGATCGACGGTCTGATTGATGATGGGCCCAGATCCCCCTACCCTCGCTCTCGAGCCCCCCAAAATTCACTGATCAGGGGGGGGGGGAGGGGAGAGGATGGCGAGGAGGGGACAGAGGAGGAGGACGAGAAAGAAGTGGACTGGGAGGAGGAAGAGGAGAACAATGATTGATGGTGATTTGTCTGGGCCGCATGGAGAATGAGTCTGGGCAAGGGCACACTGCGCGCACCACGCCCAATGGGCACAACGGGGGGGCGGGCGGCCACCCCCACGGGGGGGGGGTGCAATTCCTTGCAGGGGGCGACTGCAGCATCTCTGGGCCTCAAGAATTCCTGGCACACCCTGCTGAGAACGGCTGCTGACCCCTGGCAAGCTCTGCAAAAACCCTGCTGAGTCCGTGCGCGCCCCGCTTGACCCCGACAAGCTTTGCTCAGCCCTGCGAAGCTCTACGCGGCCTTTCGAAGCCGCGTGAAACCCGGCAAGCCCCCGAGCCCGGATTCGGCTCGCCACGCCCTGCTCGGCACTGGCAGCGCGACACCCTGCTCAGAATTAGCAACCTTGGCAGGCCCTGCTGCGCCTGCTACCCACGCAAAGCCTGAGGCCCTGGCGTACTGCGCAGAGCCCCGCTTTGCCCATCTGCCTTGGTTGGCCCTGCTGGGACCTGGTAATCCTGCTAAATGCCCCGTCGGGTCTTGGGGCGATAGCTGGGCCCTGGCCAGCCCTGCCAGGCCTTGCCGGGCCGCGCTCAGCCTTGCCATGCTTGTGGAGTCTTGCCACGCCCAGCACAGCTCGGCAAGCCTTGCTGAGCCCTGCTAAGCGTCAAGCTTTGCTGAGCCTTGCTCAGCCCTGCCAAGCTGTGCGAAGGAATGCTGATCCTTGCAAAGCCTCCAGCCCTTGTGAGCTTTGCTGAGCCCTGCTTGAAAATAGCAAAAGCTCGAGACCTGGGAAACCTTAAGTAGCAACCACTCCATAGCCCCGCAACGAGCTCATGACTTGGAAAAGTGAACTGGAAAAAAAAAAAAAAACAAAAAAAAAAAAACAAAAAAAAAAAAAAAAAAAAAAAAAAAAAAAAAAACCCAATGGCCCTGCCACGCGCGCGTGACCTGGGAAAACTGCAATGGGATGCGCTGGGAGATGCAAGTTGCATGCGTCCACCGCGGAGGCGCGCCCCCGACCCGGACAGGTGGCATGCCCATACTGGAATAAATCGTTCCCCGGAAGGCCAGGCATGTTGGAGCGACGCCAATGCAACTCCGAGAACCCAATTGGCTTGCCATGCGTTCATGACGTGGAAAGACTGAAACAAGGAAAACCCCTGACCCTGACCCTGACGCGCGCTAGGCACCTGGGAAAGCTGCAATGGCAAGAAGACAGTCGACCTGCCACGCGTTCATGACTTGGGGGAACGGGAAAAATGAAAACCTCTAAATCACTGCCACACGTTCGCGGCCTGGGAAAGTCGAAATGGTTGGAATCCAATGGGCATTCCGCGCGTTCGTGACTTGTGAAAGCTGACGCGACAAGAATCGCATGCCCTGCCGCGCGTTCATGACTTGGGAGAGCTCAAATGGCGAGAAACCTATGGCCCTGCCAAAGGTTCGTGAGTTCGGAAAGCTGAACTGGCGAGATTCCCAGATTCCTGCCATACGCTCGGGATCGCGCTGCTGCTCAACATGAGAGGACAGCAACTGCGATGCGCGGTCGCCGCCCCTTTGCCCGGCCAGTTCTGTCCTGGCCCGGGGTCGAAAGTTCTCAAAGGTTAAGGGGGGGGGTGGGGCGCGCTTGATTATCCGAGGCATGCCCTTACTGCGCAAAACCTCACGTTGCAAGCTGGCGCGCGTGCATCCACGGGGCGAGCACCCTGCGCTCGGCTCTGCGTAGACCCGGGGGCCCGTCAGACAGGAAGCGGAAAGCCCCGCGCAGCTCCATCCCGCGCATCTTCAGGCGCCGACTCAAATGCAGGTGCCGGCATCAATCATATCACTTGATTTACGACGGACCGACAGGGCGCGCCCTTGGCGAGGGGCCGAGCCGCCGAGCCGGTCGGCGAGACCTCAACGGACACGCCCCCCCGCCAGGCGGCGGCCCAGCAAGTGGCGACGCGGTGGGCGAGTCAGATTCCGGGCCCGCGGCAGGCTGCGCGCTGGAGGTAGATGGCGATGGGCGGTGAGTGCACAGCTGAATGGCGGCGCGCAGCGACGCTGCACTGCCCGCATCGGCCGACCTGCGCCCCAACTGTTCCTGTTCACCGAGGAGGCGAAGTGGCTGAGCAGATGGATTGAAATCGAAAAAGCAGAGAAAGCCTTGCAATATGGCGAACAAGCACGCGGGCTGAAATTGCACGCCAGCTGACCCTGCGAGCTGCTTCCCGCGCCACATAGCCGACTGCGGCAAAAGCGCGCCTGGGCGAAATCAGCGTCGGAGTCAGTGGGCACACTGGGAAGGTGGTCGGAGACGAGCTCGGCCACGCGCGGGCGCGCTTTGCGCGCCAGCCAGCGCGCAGCCAGCGCGCGCCAAGGCGCGCAGCCACACACAACGACGCCCCAGCGCGCGTAGCACAGCGCATGTCTGCACACAGGCGCGGCATGCCTCTGCCTTTGCGCGCGGCTGAGCACGCCGATGCCCAGCGCGCGCCGCAAAGCGCGCAAGTGCGCGCGGGCATCGCTGGGCGCGCGGGCAAGCCCCGCCGGGCGCAAGCAATGCCCCAGCGCGCGTAGCACGACGCCTGGGACTGCCAAGGCATGGCACACCATGCTTGCGCAGCTGCATCACCAGGCATGGGCGATGCCCTGGCCGCGCTGAGCAGCACATGGGTGCACGCAGGTAGCGTGCACCGCGAGGCCTGCACCGCCGCGCGCTGGCATTGCGCAGGCATGCCCCTCACCAGCGAGTCCTGAATGATCGAACGGTTGCTACTGGTGGGACAACCGCCCGCGCGTCTCTGTCAGAAAAGCCGCGGCGCGCGCAGATTGCCGCGCGGCCGCGCGCGCAGATCGCACGGCACAGCGACGCGCTGAATCGTGATCTTGCGGCCGAAGGCACAACGAACGTTTCAGCGCGACTGAAGCCACACGTCCCGAGCGTCGAAAGTCAGAGAGTTAGGGCGCACAGCATGAACCGGAGTAAAGGGCAACAGGTCTTGTTGTCAATTGAAAGACGCGGTTCTGCCCCGATCGCGTGTCAATCGCACTGCACACTGCTGCAATGTTAGATAAGTGCGCGGGCGGCGCGCCTCTGTTGAAGCTGACGAGCGGCTATGGCAAAGGCCGCATGTAGCGTAGCAACCACGTGGGGCCACTTCCATGCTCCTTGGGGAAACATGTACGGCAGGGCTCCCAGGCACTACGCGGCACGACAGCAATAGGTGCAACGGGCACGCCGGAACGCCTCATCCTGGAAGACGGCCGGTGCAAGAAATAACGGGGTCGCCGTCGAAATGCGCTTTGCGGAAGAGCTGGAAAGAAAAGGAAATACGGGAGCTCGACATTGCCAAACAGGATGAAGAGGAGAAGACGAAACACCCAGTTGCACCATGGTCATGGCGTAGCCCAATAGCTGGTTGCATCTGGACGTGGTGTCTGCAACGCTCGCCGGATGCGTCTGACCGGCTGCGGTCCACACTCGGCACAAGAACACGCATCGGCGACATCAGGCTGGTGACACGTAGCTTGCTGCCCCCGAACGCCAATATGGCAATCCTCCACGATAACACCCCACCACGATGAGAGCTGCGGGGGCGCCTTGGGGCTCGGGCCTGCGCAGAGCCGACCACCAATGTTGAAACAGGTGGCAGCCGTGGTAATGCTGACAACCCTGGTCGAAGCCAAGGGTCGTGAAAATGGTGCAGTATCGCAAACACCACGAGGCTCGGTACTGGCACAAGAAAGAGCTTCGCCCTCACACCCGACGCGAAAGGTATGGCCAGTACCTGTGGGGGCGATTGATCGTGGGAGGCGTCGTGCGTTACCGAGGGCGCTCCCCATCGCGTAGTAGCCTGCCGTTGCTTCTGATATCACGACAAGGCTCTCTGTGAGCATCCAGGGCGAATGACCCGAAGGCTTGCACAACCAATTCAAAGAATGGAACGTGTCGACATCAACCAACCAAAAAACGGGGGACGTGCGAGTGCGCATCCACATCGCACTCTGCGCAATCCGTGGATCGAAAGCTGGGATCGCTCCCAACTCCGCTACCAACTAGATTAGGGGGTGGCATGGGTGCAATGTAGAAGACATAGCGGCGATGGTATCCTGAGAGATAGAAAAGCGGCGGTCCATTTTCCCCTCCTGAGTGCGATACATTATGAAGAGAAGGCTGTAAGCAAGAATGGCAGCGGGCGCGCGCGGGCTCCCATTCGAAGGAGGAGGAGGAGGAGGAGGACAGCACAGGTTTTCACCTCAGGCTTGCTTAGCGACAAAAAGAAGAGGAAGACGAAGGGGACGGAGAACAGGAGGAGGCGGAGGAGGATCCGCAGGACGAGGTGGAGCCGGAGAAGGCCCAAGGAGGAAAACGGCGAGGTTCGAGGAGCCGGCGGCGGTGCGGCGGCGGTCTCGCCTGCGAGCACCTGGCGTCAGCGCCGACAGCAGCTCGGGAAGCCTCCGCGGGAAGGGGCGCGGGCCAGCACAGGGCATGGGGGAAGGGAGGCTCCTCCTCCTCCTCCTCCTCCCTCCTCCTCCTCCCTCCTCCTCCTCCTCCTCCTCCTCCTCCTCCTCCTCCTCCTCCTCCTCCTCCTCCTCGGGTCGCCTACGGCCCCAGGGGAAACCGTGCAGGTACAGTGGAGGCCAGTCCAGAAAAAGAAAGCCTTCCACAAGAAACCCAACCCTGAGACCCCAGGCCGTCTATCGGCTTTTGGTGCGGGAACGTCATGCTCCCCATAGCAAAAGTCATCGCAACCCGAGCAACCCAGGGCACCCTGGAGGCAAGCAGGGTGTTCTTGGCATGGGTGTCCGCTGTAGCAGCACCTACGTAAACGTTCGGAGCTCCGCGCGGATTGCCTGGCTCGGCGCTAGAGCCCCCCCCTGTCTGGCGCGCGGCGACGGCCAGAGCGGCGACGGAGGCGCCAGAGGCGCCGACATGAGGGCCAGGCGCCGATCCCACAAGTCCGCGCGGAACTCCGAAATATCATGTCTTCGCCGGCTTCCGTTCTTCGGAAGTCCGTTAGATGACCTGGGCCAAGATGGCCCTTGGGAATCCAAAAGGCGTCGATGCCGTTTCCCTGGACCTCCCCCCGGGTGCGCTTTCGAGGCGAATCCGGCCGTGGCTGCAAAGGCCTCCCAGGAGACCCAAAAAGGCGAACACAGGGCGAACGCAGCGGTCTCAGCTCGTGCCTTTTACCCCTCTGATCGGCGGCGAGCAAGGGGGGGAAGCGCGAAGGAGAAGGCCTTCTCCTTCTCACTTCCCCCCCTCGCTCGCCGCCGATTCGAGGTGGAGCGACAACGAGCCGAACGTAGCAGTATCAGTACGTACAGTCGGCCAGTATCACAAGGATGCGCGATGGGGATGCAAGGGCCCTGAAAGGCCCTTTCAAAGCTTCTCGAACAGAAGTGGCCAAGGATGGATGGGCCGAGGAGGCCTGAGGTAAGGATGCAAGGACACCGTTGGGAAAGTCGCTCATCCTTGCCATGCGGATCGACTGTGCTCTGGGTTTCTTAACAAGCGTGGGGGGGAACCCCCCCGACGGGGGTGAACCTCGCCTCGTCGTCGCGCCGCGACGGGGTTTCGGAGCGCCTTCTGCGCGCGGTGGCTGCCCGCGATAGGGGTCGATGTAGGGCTGTCGGCGGGGGTGACGCCCCCCGACGCTTATCAAAAAACTCCGAGTATGATAATGCCGTTGCGTTGCCCCTCGATGTTCCCAAACATCCGACAACCTGATGTTGATCCCTGCGCGGCCCCAAACGGGTCCCGACCGCTTCCCGAGGGGCATTTTCGTCCCAGAAGATATATGTTGATGGCCCTGGAGCGGGACGGTGGGCCCAGCTGGCGAAACATCGAGGGTAGCGCTCTGTGCTTATGCCCCTCTGACGCGCCCCCTTTCGAATTGCCGACGCTGCTCCCCCACTTGCGGCCGAGCGCCAAGGGGGGGGCACCAGCTCCCCAGCTGCGACAACATCTCCGCGTAGAAGGCGACGATCTCGGGAAGCCCCAGGCGGAAGGGCTCGGCGCGCATCACCACGAGGGCCACCCAGGCCACGCCCTGCGGCGAAAGGAAAGGGGAGAGGAGGAGGAGGAGGAGGAGGAGGAGGAGGAGGAGGAGGAGGAGGAGGAGGAGGAGGAGCAGCAGGATCGGCCATGCCCGCGATGCTCGATCCCGAAGCGCAGCCCCTGGTTGCCGCACAGAGCCGATCACCAGAGCGATCTCGGACGACGCCACAAGCCAGCTGCTCGAGGCGCGCGGGCGTGGCCACGGAAGCGGCGCGGAGGCGACAGCGCCAGCAGCGAGGTCCGCTAGCGGAGCTGGAGCCGGGGCAGGAGGAGCAAGAGCACCATAGGACGACGCCTCGAGTTGAACCGTCTGGGAGGCTGAGGTGGCCCAGCTCTGAATCTGGCCATCGCAAAGGTCGAAGAAGACGCGGCACGTAAAGCTTGTCAAATTCGACCCTGGGAAAGATCTGGGGAACAAATTTGAGCGGATCTGCCTTCGTCACCCCTCTTCGCCGATGTTCTCGGGGCCCACCCAAGCGCAGACCCCGCATGGCCGAGGGCGGGCCAAGAAAAAGCAACCGAACACTGATCTGGCCTGGAGTCGACTCGCGATCGCAGGCTGAGTAAGAGCACGAGGAGGGCGAGCGGGAGGAGGAGGAAGACGGGCGGACTGAGGTTGGGACAGCAGGCGGAGGTGAAGGCGGAGGCGGAACTGAAGACGGAGGCGGTGGGGGGGGGCTGGGAGGGGGGGCAGGGACAGGCGAGGAACGAATGCTCCACTCGCACAGATGTGTCTTGGAGCTCGGCCCCCCTTCATATCGCTCGCAGCGTCGTCGTCGCTCGTCATCGGCGCCCCCCTGGCACTGGCCCCCACCCCTGGACCAGGCCGAGAGGGGGCCAGCTCAGAGGCCAGCTCAGGGGTGGCATCGTCGATAGATCGGAGATATTTACCCGATAGCGAACCCGCACGTTCCTGGGCGGGGTGGGCTATCAGAACCCTATCGGCGATCCATGGGCGATTGGGGGCCGATGCATCTCCCCCTGAGCCTGTCCCCACCTAGCGTTAGGTCGGGCATGTCCCCGTTCAGGGGGACGTTGGACGAAAATTCAAAGTACCACAGAAAAATGCTCAGAAATGATTTTTAAAAAATACTCTAAGAATCGTCCCCAGACTTTTTTACTGCTCTTGAAAACTCCTCCTGTAGAGGGACACGCCCAACTTAAACCAAGCGCGGCCCCTGGAAGACGAGGGCCACCGACCGGACGCTCGAGCTGCCAGCGCCGCCGGGCGTGGCAGACCGGCCGTGGCGGCGACCGCCAGCGAACGCGGCTGCAGAGCGGGGCCGAAGGGGGGCCGAGCGGTGCCGCTGAGGCGCTGCCATGGTCAAGCGCCTCCCACTCCCCCTCCTCCCTCTCCTCCTCCTCCTCCTCTCCTCCTCCTCCTCCTCCTCCTCCTCCTCCTCCTCCTCCTCCTCCCTCCTCCTCCTCCTCCTCCCTCCACCTCCTCCTCCTCCCTCCCTCCCTCCCTCGCCTGGTGTAGGTGCGGTGCGGTGGGGGGGTGGGGGGGGGGGGGGGGCACCGCCATCTAAACACCCTGGCGGCTGTGCTGTGGCTGGGCCCCTGCCCCTGGGCCTGGGCCTCTTCCTCCAGCGTCCCCCTCCAGGGAGGCTCGCGTCCCCTCCAAGGAGGCTCGCGCCCTTGTAACTCCTCTGGCTCGACCTTATCGCCTAGGCCACGGGTCTACTTGGGCGACGGAAAGGAGCGGGTCTTACGGTCAGCCAGTATGGTAAGGACACATAAAGGATGCAGGGGCCTTGGAACGCCATGTCAACCATTCGCGAACGGGACGCGGACAGCGGAAGCGGTCAGGGTGGGCCGAAGGGGAAGGATGCAAGGGTAACCTCGAAAAGTCGCTCATCCGTACTACAGGGCAGTTTCTAATACATGGGATTTAAAAATATAGGATCTGTAATACATGATTGATGTATGAATGAATGTATGCATGAACCCATCGTTGTTTTTAATGCTAACTCCTTGCATTTTAATACATGTTCCGTACGCGGAGCATGTATTAAAAACGGCACTGTATGCGGGTTGACTGTAACGATCATACGCCGCGGCTTACGCGGGCCACCAGTGCGGCACGCTACACTGGAAGCGAGGGCGCTTACGCGCGACCCTACGCGGGCAGTTTACGCGCCAGTGTCGGCGCAGACGATCCCGGTGTTCTGCCTCGCCCACGTGTGCTTCGTCTATCTGTCTCTCTGGCCTCGGCCTGGCAATTCGTCTGATGGGCCGCTTTCGCACCGATGCGATTCGACCAGGTCTTGCTAGCTTGCTGTCTGGTCGCCGCCGCTCGTCCCAGGCATCCCCCTGGCACTGGCCGCGCCCCCCTCCCTGGCGCCGGGCCCCATCCCCGATCGCTCCTTCCACGTCGCTCGCCTGGCCCGCGCATCGATCCGTCCCCGTCGTCCCTGGAGCCCCTTGCATTCTCGTGCGCAGCTGTGTCCTGCGGAGGCCTTTGCTTTCGTTCGCGCGCGTCGTGCCATGTCTTTGGGCAGGGCGCGACGACGACGACGACGACGACGACGACGACGACGACGACGACGGCACTGTCGTCGTCCCCCCGCGCCCTGCCACCTTTCGCCAACCGTGGCCTCCACCCCAGATCACCCCCCTCTCAAGATGAGAGCTCCACGAGGGTCCAGGATCGCCCCGACAAGGCCCAGAGATGGCCCCAAGAGTCTCCCACTCGCCGCCACCTCATGCCAGAGCCAGGGCACGTGCGCCGCTTGTGTCTTGCCGCGACTATCGTTACTGTGCTGTACCTGCTCCCGCTCCGCGCACACGAGGCGGAGACCGATGCCAGCAACGATCACTGCTGCAGCTGCTGAGGGTACCTGACAAGGACTCTCCTGCGAGGGGCGAGGCACTCCACCAGCGCTGCATTGATGTGGGAGCAGCACACGTGTACACAAAGGCGTTCGGGACTCCGTGTACAGATGCTGCTGGAAATCTCACGCTCGCGCACCTGACCTACCCCGAATCGTGTCTACAACCATACGGTAGGCTCGTGCCGTGACGACTTCGACGTTGGTTTCGGACACCGCGTGGATCGTTCGACCTTTGAACGATCGGCCGTCTTCCCATCGCCAGATCCTTCCATATTAGACGATTCTGGGCCACTGGCGGCGCTCCACCTGGAGCGCCCGCAGCGGGGCCGCCGCCGCATGGACAAGACACGAACCTGCCGTCCTGTGCGCGGTGTCGGGCTGGTGGCAGTGGGGGGTGACCTACACAGGGATCAAGAAAAGGGCCTTAAAGGGGCCCTTCGGGGCTCCCTGTGGAGCCCGCAGAAGCCCCAATGAGGCCCCTTTTCCTCACCGCCTTACCTCGGGAGCGCGCAAACATGGATTAGCGATCCATGGATTTAGCGCGCGGTCGCCAAATTCATGGATCGGGGGAGGTGCCCTCCCCAACTTCGGCCGGTGCCGCCTCGTTCGGCGGCGGAAATCCGCGATTTCCCATGGAAACGGGGTCCGTCGATAATCCACGCCCCCTTGATCTGTGTTTGCGATCGCCTGATTACCACCCGCCAGACGGTGGCGGTTGCTAGCACGGTTTCATGGCTATGCTCCCGCCCCCGATGGCGGGCCCGGTCCCTCCCAGCCCCTCGGCGGCGAAGCTTGCGCGGGCCCCAAAGGGCAGCGACATCCCGAGTGGCAGGACCAACCTGACGCATGGTGAAGCGACAAAAACAAGCGAGTCGTCGTCGTCGTCGTCGTCAGCGTCAGCGTCAGCGTCAGCGTCGTCGTCGTCGTCGTCGTCGACGACCTCGTCGTCGTGTCCTCGTCCCCGTCGTCGCCGCCGCCGTCGTAGTCGTAGTCGTAGTCGTCGTCCTCGCCGCAGTCGTCGTCATCATCGTTGTCGCCGTCGTCGTCGTCGCCGCCGCCGCCGTAGTCGTCGTCGTCATCGTCGTCGTCGTCATCCTCCTCCTACAGGGTCAGCGGCACTGGACGTCAGGCCTTCGCAATAACCGTAGCACGAATTGTCATTTCAGAAGGATTGTTTTCGGAACCACAAAACGGGCCGTTACTAACAACATCCCCTCAAACCTCGAATCCTCCAAAAATGTCGCCCCCTGGGGATAGTCGGGCAGCGCACCCTGACTGCGAAGACGAGCGCCACCTCGCTGAACTGCGGGCTCAGGACGGGATGCAACAGAACTGAAGTGCGCGGACGGGGAAATGGAGAGAAAAAGCGGGGACCATGACCAAGGCTGAAAGCGGAAACGCCGTGTCGGTCTTGGTCTCCGCTGGTCCTAGTCAGCGTCAAGTCGTACATCATCCTCGCGAATCGGTGACGGCCGACATGGACAATGATCTACAGTACGAGCTCGACGACAAGAAACCTTCCACAAGAAACCCGACCCTGAGACCCCAGGACGTCCATTGATTTGCGGGACGTGAACGTCACGCTCTCCACCGTAAGACCATCGAAACCCAAGAAACTTAGGGCATCCTAGTAGAGGCAAGCAGGGTCTTTCTTGGCATGGGTTCCCACTGTAGATCGGCATGGACAAGATCCCGCGACACCTTGGCCATGGTCAACGGCGACATGGTCCCCTTGCCTCGTGTCTCCAGGAAAAGGGACCCCCGGCTCGCGCTGTCAGGAGGCCGCCTGCCCGGTCTCCCCCGGGGCCGTAGGCGACCCGAGGAGGAGAAGGAGGAGGAGGAGGAGGAGGAGGAGGAGGAGGAGGAGGAGGAGGGGGAGGATGAGATGGAGGAGGAGGAGTAGGAGGGAGGAGGAGATAGAGAAGGGGGAGGGGGAGGAGGAGAGAGGAGGAGGAGGACGGCTCGCCTGAACCCAGGAGGGCGGCTCAGACCGGCCGCCAACCCCGGCGCCCGCTCGTCAGGAGCACTGGGCCACGAGGCAGCACCCCCGTGCTGGAGCATCGGGCAAGACGGAGCCAGGACGAGGAGAGATGCGGGTGAGAGCAACTCGATAATCTCCGAGAACTAGTGAGCGTTGTTTTATTCGGCGTTTCGACATTGGGCGAAAGGGGGGGAGGAGGGGAGGGGGCACTGGCGCTGGACCTCTGCTTAGTGCGGCTGTTTGGAACTGTTGAGGGGAGACCCCCCCCCGCTCGAAACAGGCGCCAAAAACAGCCAAGATCCACTCCACAGGGGGGGGAGGGGGGATGCGAGGGCCCGCGCCGATCGACAAAACAATGAATAGGAAAACGATCACCTACTGGCGGCCCTGGAGGATGTTTCGGGCGCCGCGGCCTCCTCAGAGCGTTCGGAGACGCTCCGAGAGCGTTCCAGAACGTCCTGGATCGATCCTCGTCCCAGCCTTGAGTCGGGCATGTCCTCCTACAGGCGGATTTTGTATGGAAAATTCGCCGGCCCAACGGGCCAGAGGCGTGCTAAAATCCCTGGTAACTGGTTAACAATATTTCTAGTTCGCGCGCGCGGGGCGGCCCCTGGGGGTCCCCCGGCGAAAAGGATCCCGACCGCAGCCCGACCAAGTCTACCCAGAGATGGTTTTGAGGGCTTTTTTTCGAAACCCCTCACGAGGATCGTGGCCCCCGAGGGGGGCACTCGACTACCCCGCCCCCCGCCCCAAGAGGTCCCCAAGAGCCCCCCAAGAGGCCCAAGGGGGCCCCAAGACGCCGCCAAGGAGCCCCAAGAGACCTCCAAGAGGCCCCCGAGAGACCCCTAGGAGGCCCCAAAGAGGCCCCCGAGAGGCTTCAAAGAGGCCCCATAGAGCGCTCGAGGGCCGGCGGAGTGAGCGAAGTGATTAAATAAACAATAGCCCCCAAATAATCTAGAAATAACTCATGTCTTTGCTTGATTACAACCGGGGAAAACCCAATCAGATGATGGATCTTGAGATCGATTGTGAGATCGATAGTGGAATCGATAGTTGACGATTGTAAGGTCGATCGTCAGACAGAGAATGAAATCGACTCAATGAGATCGATAGGGAGATCGATCGCGAGATCGCTCGTGCGATCTCTAGTGAGATCGCTTGCGAGATCGATTGTGAGATCGATTGTGAGATCGATGGTGAGATCGATAGAGAGGTGGGAAATGAGATCGATGCTGAGACCTATAGATAAGAAAATCGACCAAAATCCAGTGAACCTGGGAACCTCGCCGCCCACCGAAATCGGCCCGGGAACCGGAAACCCGGGAACCCGGAACCAGGAACAAGGGAGACCGGCCTGCCACCAAAATCGGCGTGAAACATTCGCCTTCTCTTTCAAAATCCGCTAGGACCCCTTCAGTGCAAGCACTGATTAGGGTGTATATATACACAAAAAAACTGTCTCCAGACGATTGTTTGACTATTCTTGATCCTTCTCCCTGTAGGAGGGACATACCCGACTTAACCCTAGCCCCGCCCGACGGAAGGGGGCTTCAACTGGCCACGAGCCGCACGCGCCCCGTGCTTTCAGGAGCACCCCCCAAGAGAGGAGGACCCAAGCATCCGACGATGTGATATCTGCAGCCCGCAGCCCCAAGCAGGTCCCCACTCAATATGAAACACAAGTGCCCGAGATCAACCCACTTCTTCCACCAGAAACCAACGAATGAAGTTTCAGTGATGTGGGTGGGCCTAGCCCGGCTGAGCGCTACTTAGCGTCCTGGGATTTACCTCAAGACGCCCACTGAGCCACGTCTACGGAACTACTGCTTGCCAGTCCGCAGCCCAAAGGTCCCCACCCCTCCCCGGACCAATACTGCCCCAGCAGAGCGCCAGAACTGCAGCCAAAGCGAGGAGGCAGGCCGAGACGAAGGAGGTCGGATACAGGGGGGCAGAGCCAGGCGCACGTTTTACGAGGTGCCGTGACCGCCTGAGCCAAAAACTGAAGCCGCCATGGAGGCGCGGGCACGAGCCGCGAACACATCGTGAAAATCTCTGGCGAAACGGCTGCCAGACCAGACCTCGACCGGGCAAGGACTCCCCGCCTCCCCTGTGGGACTCTTCTGTGGTCCTTTTACTTCTACGAGAAACCTCCGGCGATGACACCACCAGGGAAAAAACAAATCGTCGGACACTTGAGGGTGGAGGAGGAGAACGAGAAGCAGGAGGAGAAGCAGGAGGACACAATCCCCGATGCGCCCCCTGAAAGCCTCGGGCGGCGACCAGGGGGTCCAATTCGTGAAGGGGCAGGGGGTCTACCTTCTCACACGGGAGCCGCTGCTTGCGCGAGGAACGCACGAAAGAAGCAGGAGAAGAAGCAGGAGGAGGCGTCACGGCGCAGGCCTCGTCGGGGTCCCCCGGGGCAACGCTGGAGGAGGGCCGCGCCGCGCACGGACCGGCTGGCGCCTCCTGCGTCGGGCAGTGGGGGGGGGGGGTAAGGGGGGGGGGGGGGGGGAAAGGGAGGGGGGAGGGACAAGCTAGGTGCGCTCGCGTCAGATCTGGCGTTCTACCCCTCTCTCCCATCCTTTACCATGGCGCAGATCCCCTCTCTAGTCGCACACTCGGATGTCGTAGCATGGCATATCATTACATGGCGTAGCATGGTGTTGAAGATCAACGCGTAGCAGGACGTAGCATGGCGTGGCGACGCCCCAAAGTAGGGAAGCTTCTGCGACCCAGACAATCAACGAATCGACGATGGTTTTTTCGTGAGGGCATTTTCTAAATTTTCGAGCCGATTTGGAAGAACCGATACCCATGCCGTGGAACGGCACTGGAAATAACGACGACAACGCTGCAGCGGAAGCACGATTCGGGACGAGCGGAAGCGTGGCAATGAGGCTGGCGCAGACCAGCAGCACAAATACCCAACGAAAACCTGGAATCCTGTGTATGATCAAACAGTACGCGGAGGGGGGCCGGATATTTTCCGGACGTCATCAGGGCAGAGAGGAGAGCAGCATTCACATTGTGAAATCAGAAAGGGGGGGGGACAGGGCAGAGGGGGGATAGGAGGGGGGAGGGGAGGGGGGAGGGGGATGGGGAGGGGGGGACAAGCTAGCTACGCTCGCGTCATATCTGACGTCCTACCCCTACCCCCCATCCCTTACCATGGCGTAGGTATCCTCTTTAACCGTACAGTGGGACGTCGAGCAGAGCAATGGTCGCGAGAGGGTACGCGACGCATGGTAGAGCATGGCATGGCATGGCGTAGAAGAGCACGGCAGAGCGAAGCATGTCATAGCATGGCGTGGCATTGCGCAGTGACGCATTGCATCAGAAAGCATTGCAACGCATAACATGGCATCGCACAGCGGCGCAGAACACAACACCGCACAGCATGTCGTGGCATGGCGCCAGGTTCTTTGGACGGTAAGTGAATCGTTTTCGAAAAGTCTGGACCGGTCTGGAATCGCGGTTCCATGTCTAGCTCCATGGGTTCCACTAAATCTCCACACAAGGCGGGGCTCATGGAGAGCAACCGCTGGCTCTGCTTTCAACATTGCCTTCTGGAAGCAGAAAGAGGGCTCCCGCTGGATACTTTTCTGGAATCGACAACCTCGTTTGGGGGGTTTTGTTTTACCTCCCTACCCCCCCCCCCCAAAAAAAAAAAGAAAAGAAAACGAAAAAAAAAAAACGCGGACGGGGGCTGGATATCTTCCAGACGTCATCAGGGGAGAGAGGCACATAATATCCAGATGGTGTAACTGTAGAGGGGCAGAGGGGGGAGGGGAGGGAGGAGGGGAGGGGAGAGGAGAGGGGAGGAGGGAGGGGGGGCGGCAAAGGGGCAGAGGGGGTGAGGGGAGAGAGAGAGAGAGAGAGAGAGAGGGAGGGGAGAAGCCCACCCCCTCTAACCTTTCCGCCTCCTCCTTCTCCCGCCTTCTCTTCCAACCTGTTATTCCTTCTCTTCCTCCTCCTCCTCCTCTTCCTCCTCCTCCTCCTCCTCCTCCTCCTCCTCCTCCTCCTCCTTTTCCTTCTTCAACCTGTTTCTCCTCCCCCTCATCCTCCGCCTACTCCTCCTCCATCCCTGTTCCTCTTTTAGCAACTCCTCCCTGTCACACACCCAGGCGTGTCGGCATGGCGGGCGAGGGGTTCACCTAGAACTTGAAAGTTGCAACAGATTCACGGATGGAGGCCGGGTGGTTCTCAAATCTCGTTCTCGCATTAGCGTTGCGCCCTTTCGTCTTGAAGGTGTGCAGCCGTTTCGAAATGTTGCTCTCGTCTTAGCGCCGCGCACATTCGTCTTAGCTTGCAACGGCATCAAAGATGCAGGCGTTCCGATGTCGAAAGGTGATTACCGCCTCAGCGCCGAGCACATGCGTCCTAGAAATTTGCAACAGCTTCGAGGATAAAGGTCGGCAACTTTCATTTTGCGGCTCTAGCCCCAGCGCCGCATACAATAGCTTTGAAGTTTACACAAGGTTCAAGGATTCTTGTTGCTGAAGACCCAAGAACGGCGTCGTGGCGCGATTTTGGATTGTCAAGACGCAGCAGCAACGTTGATCCGCGATGTTGAAGTCCCAGGAATGGTGTCCTGGCATGTTTTGAAATCCCACCAGTTCCTTGGGCTGCGCTGGTCCAAGGATGTGATTTTTGCCCTTCCGAAACCCCATTCCCTTCGGGGAGGGGTACCCTCCCCCTCCGCTCCCTGGCGTTTTGGGTGGTGGGCTCGCGATCGGTCGGGGCGCCCTAGATGGGCCAAGATGGCTCCAAGAGGGCCTCCGATGCTCCGAAATGGCCTCCAAAGCGGCTCGAGACGGCCGAAGGTGGTTCAAGATAGCTTCCGACATACCTCCAAGAGGCCCGACAAGGGCCACAAGAAAGTTCAAAGTGCTCTCGGAACCCCCTTCTGGACCCCCCCACGAAGCCCAAAACCCCATGCAAACATCAACAAAAAATGGCGCGTGGCCTCTCGCACTTTCGCGTCCGCTGCGCCATTGAGGGCTCGAGCTAGCCCCAATATGGCCCAAGAGAGACCCCCCCGACGGCTCCAGGAGCGCCCAAGAGCAGCCCAAGAGCGGAGACCGGCACGGGAGTTCCGACGAACCCCTCCTGAAACCTTCCTGAGGAAGGTCTTAGGAAGGTTTTTTGGGAGGTTTTCCCGGGGGGGGGGACGCGAGGAAGGTTCCAGGAAGATTGTTCCATAAACCTGCCAAAAAAAATCAAAAACCTGTTCAAAAACCTTCCACGAAAAAAAACTGCCCAAAAACCTTCCAACTAACCTTTCAAAAACCGTTTAACAATTTTCCAGAACCTCCCTGAATTAAGCGAAACCGCCCAATACATTCCAAAACCTTGCAAAAACCGTCAGAAAAAATACTCCGACGGTAGGACCCCGCATGAGAATCTGTCTAGCTTCCATTAACCCTTCCCTCCTCCCCCTGGCGAACACTCTCCTCTCGCCGCCTGTTATGCTCTCTCCTCCTCCTTCTATTTATATTCCTCCGTCTCCTCCTTCTCCTCCTCCGCCTCCTCCTCCTCCTCCTCCTCCACCTCCTCCTCATCCTCACCCTCCCCCATGCGCCATGCCCCTTTCCCTCCTCCCCATCCTCCGCCTGCCTCTTCTCCATGTGCACCTCCCCGTCCCCCTGGTCGGGCCAAGCAAAACGATGTGCCTCGGCGCCCTCGCCGCCGCGGCAATCAGGCACGCGTTCGCCGACGGCTAGATCGCGAAGCCGCCGGGCCAACCCTTCGGGCCAGGCCGGCGGGGCAACCCCGCGAACCGCTGGACCACGAGAGCAAACCGTTGGGACAACCCCGCTGGCACCGAGCTAATCGCGGCCGCGCTCAGGCCGGAGGCAGCACGAAGCCCAGCTCTGCCGCGAGCTGCTCCGCCTCAGCCCTGGAGTCCACCGCTCTCTTGTCGAACTCCTGGAGCGCCTTCCGCAGGGACGCCGGCGGCCCGCGCTCCAGGAAGTCTCGCGCGGGCGGCCGCAGAATCAACATGTTTCGCATGCACGTGGCGCGGGAGAACATGACGTAGAGGTGCAGCCACCACTGCTCGTCCGACATGCCCGTGCGGCCAGCGTCCTCATCCCTGGCGCAGTCGATGGTGACGCCCTTGCGCAGCATCTAGCCCTGCGACAGGACGCAGGGGTTCCCCCAGGTCCGAATCCCGCTGCTCCTCCTCCGGCCCGAAACTTCACCCGCCGAACGGCCAGGGTACGCTCGAGGCCCTCGGTCGCCAAGGTCGGCGGCACCTCTGGCTCCACTGGGATCGCGACATTACCACCCCTGGCCCGGACGCAAGGGTTCCCCCCTGCGCCCGATTCGGTTGACGATGGGTTACCACCGCCAGCCCGGAGACAAAGGGTTACCCCTGCCCCCGATTCGGCCGAGGATGGGTTACCACCCCCGGCCCGGACGCAAGGGTTTCCCCCTGCGCACGGCCGCCGCTTCGGCCGAGGATGGGTTACCACCCCCGGCCCGGACGCAAGGGTTTCCCCCTGCGCCCGGCCGCCGTCGTCCTCCTCAATTCCTGTTCCTCGTCCTCCTCCTCCTCCTCCTGCTCCTCCTCCTCCTCCTCCTCCTCCTCCTCCTCCTTTTCCTCCTCCTCCTCCTCCTCCTCCTCCTCCTCCTCCTCCTCCTCCTCCTCCTCCTGCGCCTCAGCTCCAGCTCGCATTCTTCGAGCTGGCTCAGCGCGGGGACTCTCGCGGGGACAAGCCAACGGGCTCCTGCCTGTGACTTCCTCGCGAATCACTTACAGACGAGGCTCCCGCCTGATGCATCCTCCTTATTCAAGCCCTCCGGAGGCCAAAAGGGACGACGGTTACACGTTTCGGATGACCCGCCTCGGATTAAAGACATGATGTGCGGGCCCCATAGGGAGAGGCTTCCCGCCTGGGCCTTCGTCGCAATTCAATCACAGACGAGGCTCCCGCTTTATTTTTCCTCCAGATTCACGCCAGAAGGGCCCAAAAGTGACGACAGTTACACCTTTCGGATGACCCGCCTTGGATTAGAAACATGAGGTGCGGGCCCCATGGGGAGAAGCTTCCCGCCTGAAACTTCCTCACAATTCACTCACAGACGAGGCTCCCGCTTGATTTGTCCTCCAGATTCTCGCCACAGGGGCCCAAAAAGGGCGCCAGTTACATGTTTCGAATGACCCGCCTCGGATTAGAAACATGAGGTGCGGGCCCCATGGGGACGGGCTCCCGCCTGAGCCTTCGTCGCAATTCAATCACAGACGAGGCTCCCGCCTGATACTACCTCCAGATTCTCGCCACAGGGGCCCAAAAGGGACGACAGTTACACGTTTCGAATGACCCGCCTCGGATTAAAGACATGATGTGCGGGCCACATGGGGAGGGGTTCCCGCCTGAGACTTCCTCACAATTCACTCACAGACGAGGCTCCCGCCTGATACTACCTCCAGATTTTCGCCACAGGGGCCCAAAATGGACGAC